TTACAGTGTATAAGGCAGTTGTATTAAGGGTCTATTTTCAGCAAGGTTCCCTTTCATTTAAAGATTTGCAGAGCATTTATTTTATAAGCAATACTCACTGCACGTCGTAGTACACACCTTTCCTGTCGTGCATTATTTGACCGTAACTCGAATAAAAATGGGTTCCAAAAGGGTTCTTCGGCTGTCCCCATAGGAGAACCCTTTTTGGTTCCAGGTAGAACCCTTTTTGGCTCCAGGTAGAACAATTTTTGGTTCCATGTAGATCCGTCTGTGGAAAGGGTTATACATGGAACTCAAAATGGTTCTACCTGGAAGCAAAATGATTCTACCTGGAACCAAAAAGGGATCTTCAAAGGGTTCTCCTATGAGGACAGCCGAATAACCCTTTTAGGTTTTAGATAGCACCTTTTTTTCTAAGAGTTGAGTCCCTCGTTGATTATCCCTTACATCATAACACCCAGCTTTCTGATAATGGAATCATATACAGCAAGCCAGCAGTAAACTATCAGTGTGCCTCTCATGATTTGATCTAACACACAAACATAAAACTACACCTTCATACAACCTGAAATTTCAACAGTCTTTCCTTGCTACATTATAAAGCAGTCAATGTTATTATTCTAAGAAGATCAAAACGATACCTTCTTCAACAGAAAGCAAAATACATTCCAAGTACATTACAACACACACTATTAGCTATATCTTCCCATTTCAAAGCAGCAACATAACTCACATTTTGGTTACTGGTTACTCTTCTGAACTATTCTCTGTCATTCACTCATGCCAATTAGGATGGTAAATAATACACCTCCACCTTTTCATTTAGAAAATAATAATGTCCTCAGGTTATCTTTGAAAAGTGTGTTCTCATATTCTCTTTAAAGGTAACTCTCTCTTCAATACTGGGTATCAGATGACCTCTTGTGGCTCACTATAGACGTGACTGAATGTGACAACAGATGCACGTTCAAAACAAACTATGAATTACAAGCTATTCTGCCAAGATGGGTTGAGTCATGAAGTGTTGGATGCCAATTCATTATGCACAGACTGCTAATTATTCAGTAGCAAATAATCTAGATATCAGAGGTTGTTTGGACATTATACTGTGCACTTCTTGTAAAGGCAAATATCTGTTATCACTGATAACTAGGAGTCTGAGACCAAAGTACCCAATAATCCATTCACAATGTAAACCCCCTGCTGGCATATTTGACAGCCCTTTATGTGTACTTTCATGATAGATTATCAAGTGAATGTGTGACAGTCAAACCAGAGTTAATGGTCTCTTCTCAAGAGCAGGGCCTTTCAATGTCAAACTATATATATCCCTAGAGTAAATGTGTAATCTGTCAAAGCAGCATAAAAAGGTCACAGCCATCTTAGATGAAAGTAGTCTCACTCTGAATTGATTCGACTTTGGGTGTAGGCCAAATAGCTGTCGTTTTCTGAAAAAATACTGACCTTCACCAATTTGTTCGGTATCGGGAGTAAAATTGAGCACAGATATTAGTTAAGTATAAAATCAACGTATTAGTTCAATAGTGTGTTTCCTTTGAGTCCTGATGAGGGTCTTGTAATATGATCAAAGTATAGCACGAATTGATGCTACTTATGCTTTTCTGAATTAAAACCATACAATGCCCTTACCATCCTGTTGCTTACTGTTGTGTCTGTTTGTGTAGCTGTAGACAACAACACATTCTCCAACGGTATGCTACTGAGATGTCCTCCCTGTGGAGAAAGCACAGGATGCCTCAATTATCATACAACAGAGAAAAGCTGTTATTAAAGCTATAATTCTTAGTTGCTATGTTCATTTTAGGACTTACAAATTAATCATATATACCTCAGTGGATGCTCCTCAGAGGAGGAAGGGGAGGACCATCGTTCTCAGTGAATTTCATACAAATATATATATATATATTTTTTGATAAAACTATACAAAATATATTCACGTCACCAAATAATTGATTAAAACACACTGTTTTGCAATGAAGGTCTACAGTAGCCTCAACAGCACTCTTGTAGGGTAGCACCATGGTGTAGCCGGAGGACAGCTAGTTTCCGTCCTCCTCTGGGTACATTGACCTCAGTACAAAACCTAGGAGGCTTGTGGTTCTCAACCCCTTCCATAGACTTACACAGTAATTATGACAACTTCCGGAGGACGTCCTCCAACCTATCAGAGCTCTTGCAGCATGAACTGAAATGTGTCCACCCAATCAAAGGACCAGAGAATTGAACTAGTACTGAAAGCATAAGCTACAGCTAGCTAGCACTGCAGTGCATACAATGTTGTGAGTGAGAAAGACAATAGTTTAGAACAAATTAATGTCTTCAAAAATGAAGGAGAAGTAAGAGAGAAAGAGAGTGAGAGAGAGCTAGCTATATTTTGTTGTCTTTTTTCCCCAACTTTCTCTTTCATTTCCCTAACGAATGCAGCTAGCTAGTTTATCCTACTCAAACACCCGGCTCATACAGAGGGATGCTATGTTAGCAAGCTGGCTATGGATATCCAACACTGGAACTCTTCCAAGTCAAGGTAAGCTTTTGGTTTTATAAATGTATTGCCACCGGGGCCCACCGGTGTAACTGCTAAACTCCTTGCTGACTGTACACTGTATTACCTGATTGTAACGGATTTACTAGTGCATTAGTTTTAGTAGCTATGTTGACTTTGACATTAGCTAATATGGTGACAACGATGTAGGCTGTGTGTAGCGGTTAGCGGTTACTTATGATATGAAGGTTTGGCTTGGAAAGGTTATTTCGCCTGGTCACAGACAGCTGATGTGTTGTGCACTGAAGTCCACAAGCGAAGGGAAAAGGTGAGAGGAGGAGAGCGTGTAGACGTGAGAAGGAATTATAGCTACAACAATCAAAGGGATTATGCTGTTTGTATGTGGCTGCTATGAAAGTGAACTGTGTTTGCATGTGTGATCAGGGGTGTATTTTTCCCTCCGATTCTGTTGAAAAATGTTCTTAAACAGAAGCAAATGGAATGAAACAGGGAGAAACATATTAACATTTACATTTTAGTCATTTAGCAGACGCTCTTATCCAGAGCCACTTACAGGAGCAATTAGGGTTAAGTGCCTTGCTCAAGGGCACATTGACCGATTTTTCACCTAGTTGGCTCGGGGATTAGAACCAGCAACCTTTCAGTTACTGGCACAACACTCTTAACCACTAAGCTACCTGCCGCCCCTTGAATTTGTCCAAACTCTCGTTTGCTACTGTTGGACTAATGATTACACCCTAGATCAGCTGCATGCAAGCAAGAGTGTGCAAGGCGTTATTGAATGTGTCACTGTCTGTCACCTTGATTACTCTCAACCTGTGCACCTACGTTGTAAACTTTCATTCTTAGGCTAGGTTGTAGCAACATCATGATGGGTATAGGAAAAATGTGAGTATCATGTAGTAGCCTAAACCTATCGATGTTACATTGAGCTGGGTGAATAGAATATGATTGACAGTCATCCAATATGCTGTAATAGAAATAAGGCCATGCTCATGAAAAAATAATCGTCCTCCCTCATCTTAAACGGCACCGACTGCCACTGATATACCCACTGCCACTGATATACCCACTGATTCTTTCCTCATGAGCTTAGTTCAACTGTCGCACCCCATCAGAACCCATAATATAAGCTTGTTTTACTCCAATGTTTGTAAACAAAGTTAATATAAAAAAAACACTTTATAGCCTCAAAACATGGTTAAAACTATCATTTTCATATCATGAATGGTGAGTTCGCTGAGTCAGTAGAGCATGGCGCTTGCAGGTTCGATTCCCGCTGGAACTACCCATATGTAAAATGTATGCAAGCATGACTGTAAGTCGCTTTGGATAAAGCATCTCCTAAATGGCATATATTATGAATTTGAGAGTGGTTACATTTCTCCAGGGCCATCTCTCAGCTTTTTACCAAAACAGACTTGGGGTGACCACTTCGTTATTGCTTCAATTAAGGATTCTAGCTTTAAGCATATGTCCATGACCAAAGGCAGAGCAACAGTAAATTATCAGGGAAAATAAGGTATTCTACAGGGCCCCAAACCCTAAAGAAAACTGGTCTACAGTGGGCTAGTCATATAACTGATTATCAAATGTTTTACTTCCATCTAGTGGTTGGTTATAATATCACACCACACTTTTGGTTACATCTCACAGGGCACACACTGGTTGAATCATGGTTGTTTTCACGTCATTTCAATGAAACTACATTGAACCAACGTGGAATAGACGTCTATGCCCAGTGGGATAGTACATTAGCTGTTACAAACAACTCAATAGTTTCATTGAGTTGTTGTCAGCTAGTTACATGGGAACTAAAATCACATTCAGATAGTAAGTGTACAGTGTACATAAAATGATTCCTGTAGGCCTACTGTATGATTTACGCACACTTGCAAAATATTAGTTTCCACTCTCTGCACGCAAACACGTTTTACTTTGTCATTTAACTCCATGATTATCCTTGGTAAGTAATCAGTACCTTAAAGCTGCACTGCCTAACTACGTGTGTACAGGTGTTTTTAGAGACTACAGCTAGTTTTTGGAGACTAGCTTACACCACTCGATACTAAACCAAAACAGTTTCCCCAATACTGTATGCAAATCTAGGATCCTCACCAGACATTAGCTATCTCCTCATGTTATACATAATTGCCATTTGGAAGATACCATTTGTATATCCACAAACTTAAAAAGGAATGTGAGGTAGATGTTTGCTGAAATGTGTTTGTTATTCAAAAGTCGGCAAAAGTATGCCTACATGTTCTACGCTAAAACAATAGTTTTCTGCATAAACAGTCAGTAGGCTATGCTCAATAAAATGGCATGTTTCAGATTTGAATGGTGTGGAGTATATTTCCACGCCCCTTTAACTAGTGTGCGCACCACTCTTTGGGACATAAAACTCCTCTCTGCTGCTCTCAGCATTATATAAATAGTCCTGATCCAGTCTGACCAATAAACAGCCGCCAGAATCATGACAGGACTGAACGCTTTAAAAGTGGATGCTAATGTAGTAGTTCTTGGGACAGACAGGGTTGGTAAATCTGGTAAGACCAAATCTCTAATTATTCTAATTATTTATAATTTGTGCATTGTATTCGAACGTCTACAGTGATCAGTGGACCATTTTAGTCAATATTTGTTTTTCCTTAATTGGCATTGCTGACTGAATCAATTTCTTTCCTGAAAATACACATGGTAAAAACTATGATGATGATAATTATTTCACAGCGCTGACAGTCCGCTTCTTAACTAGAAGATTCATTGGAGAATATGGGGATATTGGTAAGTTTAGTTTGTCTGTCATCACCAGCTATTGTAATATCAAGTAAACATTTTACTACTGTATACTGTACAACTAAATGAATACTTACGTTAATTCCTTTCAGAATCAATCTACAGCCACAATGTTGTTGTGGAAAGAAGGGACATAACTTTTAACATCTGGGATTCACCATATTATCAGGTATTACAAAACGTTAACATTTATTCTGTTTCATGTGCTATCATAATGATGTCTGATACTGTATTTTGGTTTTATATGGCATTGGGCAAAGCTACTGTATTCAGTCTTCTGAAATGACTGCAGGCATTGAGCATATTTGGCAACTTAAACAGAGCACTTCAGTTACTCATAGGCTACTTTATAAGTGCCTGTATGGGACACAGATTTATGATACTTCCATTTCCCCGTACTGCAGTGAGTATTACTGCCAAGAAGTGCCTGGTTGTCTTCGACATGAATCCCATTTTACCAGTGGTGGAAAAAGTACCAAATTGTCATACTTGAGTAAAAGATAAGATACCTTAATAGAAAATTACTCAAGTAAAAAGGAAAGTCACCCAGTAAAATACTACTTGAGTAAAAGTCTAGAAGTATTTGGTTTTAAATATACAGTACTTAAGTATCAAAAGTACTGTAATTGCAAAAATATACTTAAGGATCAAATTACTTATATTAAGCAAACCAGATGACACAAGTTTCTAGTTTTTTATTTATTTATCGATAGCCAGGGGCACGCTCCAACACTTAGACATCATTTACAAACGAAGCATGTGTGTTTAGTGAGTCTGCCAGATCAGAGGCAGTAGAGATGACCAAGGATGTTCTCTTGATAAGTGCATGAATTGGACCATTTTCCTATCCTGCTAAGCATTCAAAATACTTTTGGGTGTCAGGGAAAATGTATGGAGTAAAAAATACATTATTTTCTTTAGGAATGTAGTGAAGTAAAAGTTGTAAAAAATATAAATAGTAAAGTGCAGATACCCCAAAAAACTACTTAAGTAGTACTTTAAAGTATTTTTACATAAGTACTTTACACCACTGCATTCTACTAGCACCCTGCAGGGCCACAGTGACTGGACATCATGTCTATCAGCCCAGAGAAATAGGGCTTACATGGACTAACTTATCCCACGATTGGTCCTTTCCCAATACAAAATCTATCACTCTTTGATCCAAGCAAGCCTTTATCAATTGTATATATTATTTTCCACTTTTCCAGGACCTGTCCATGGAGACCTCCCTATATAAGAAGAGAGTCCAGTGGGCAGATGGTTTTGTCCTGGTCTACAGCATCTGTGACAGGGCCAGCTTCAACGCTGTCACCAAGCTGATCCAGTCCATCAAGGCCACCAAGGACTACCTGGGCATGGACAAGGTGCCCATAGTGATCGTGGGCAACAAGAGGGACCTGAATCACAGACGGACAGTCCTCAGTGAGGAGGGCAGACTGCTCGCCCTCACCACAGCCTGCCAGTTCTATGAGGTTACAGCTGCTGAGAACTACCACAGTGTCCTCATGGTGTTTCATGGACTAATAGACAGGATACGGGAGTCCAAGTCATCCATTAAGAAGCCAGCTGGAATCAAGGGTATAGTGAAAAGCATGTCTGCAGTTTTTGCCAGGAGATGGACAGATACGCTGTGATACTAGGGCACAGAGAGGAAGACATTATATATTGTAATCAATGTATGGGTCTGACATGACTTGTGTGTGCCAAAGATCTCCAGAGACTGCCTTATGGTTCAGACAGGGCAATGAAGGGCAGAAACAATACAGGTGTGGAAATGGAGACTAGTACCCAAAGTTATTGCTGTAGTTGTGGCTGGCTGCTGCAGGACAGGACTGACTTGGATGGAGCACACTGTCCACAGGGATTGTATATTGTATATTACTTACAAGGAAACAATTAATTACTGTAACTGTCCTAAAGCTGCTCCATACACTGAATACTTTTTCAAAGAAATGCATGTGAATATGATGGCCAGAGTACAATGAGATTCTGTGGCTGTCTGGTAAAAGGTGCAAAAGTTGGCTCACAAAGAGCAATATTATTTTTATTAAATTACTATTATCCTCAACCCTCAATCAACTTTTATAGGGCAAGCACTTAATAATTACTTTCATACACAAACATCACTTTTTTATTTTTTACGTGAGTACTTTACATGTCCATATGGTTTGTCACCAAGATGGGAGGGATCCAGAAATTAATACAATTGTAATTGTTTTTGTTTGTATTTATTTAAAAAAAACATTTTTTAATGTAATGTAGCTCAATCATTGTACTGTAGAAAACACTTGGGATAAGTATACATGTATGTATATTTTCCTTTACTGCAATTAAATACTCATTCTAAAAAAATAATGGAATACTGGAATCAATATTGTGCCATATAGTATGTAAATTACTTTTCTTGTAACGACAGCAACTAGTACAGTAGCAAGTTTAGCCACAATCTAAATCACCAGTCAGTAAAGAAACAAAAGCCTCTGAATACAAAGACATGTAGGAATATTTGACCATGTTGATTAGAAAATAGCAGCCTCCCCCAGACAGAATGAGCAGAACATGACAGATGGAACAAATAAAACTGTTCCGTTCAGATTAAATACCTACAAAATGAATCCTCCTACCAGTTCAAGGCAGGTAAGGATTTAACGCAAAGTGAGGGTGTAAACAGATACACGTGCTATTAAGAAACACTAATGAAAGTGTCATATTTAAGAATATTTTTAATGGTTTAAATTCATGCATGTCCCTCATCGTGATAAAATGTGGGTTATTTCTTCAAGACAGTCTTTTGTTCAACATTTTCCCATGGTAGGTAGTTACGAAGGGAAAAATTATTCACAGAGTCGGATTTCTCCTCAAATCCAATTTATTAATCCCACTAATGACAGAAAGAGAGCTCAATGTGAACAGGATCGCTTCATTGATATGTCTGTTCTTAATGATTCAGCTACGTTATAGGCAAAGCTAATGTTTCAGACATGCTTTTAGGTCTTCTATTGGGTACTTGTCAACAGAATAGGAGGCATGCTTTCAAGCAAAGCTTTGGCCCTTTTCTTCTTTTTGCAATATCACAAAGAAACATACAGTGGGTAAAAAAAGTATTTAGTCAGCCACCAATTGTGCAAGTTCTCCCACTTAAAAAGATGAGAGAGGTGTCACACGATGTGTATGCGGTAGCGAAGTCAAAAGCAGGACACAGAGCGGCTGGCAACGTTTTTTACTGAACACAGTAAAATCAACGTACAAACAACAAACCTCCAAACAGGGAGGAAAGCACAAAGACCCGTACATACAGAACTGCCGGAATGACAACAAACAATAACACACAAAGTACCAATGAGAGACAGGGGTTAATATAGGGAATACAATCCAACATAATGGGAAACAGGTGTAAACAATAAAGACCAAACAAGACAAACACCGAAACATCGATCGGCAGCAGCTAGTACTCCGGGGACGACGAACGCCGAAGCCTGCCCGAGCAAGGAGGAGGAGCAGCCTCGGCTGAATCCGTGACAGTACCCCCCCCCTTGACGCGCGGCTCCAGCCGTGCGCCGACCCCGGCCTCGGGGACAGCCAGGAGGACGCGGAGCAGGGCGAGTCGGATGACTCCGGTGGAAATCCCTCAACAGGGAGGGATCTAGGATGTCCCTCCTAGGGACCCAGCACCGTTCCTCCTGACCGTACCCCTCCCACTCCATGAGATACTGCAGACCCCCCATCCGACGCCTCGAATTCACGATGGAACGGACTGAGTACGCCGGAGCCCCCTCGATGTCTAGTGGGGGCGGAGGAGCCTCTCGTATCTCATTCTCCTGGAGTGGACCAGCTACCACCGGCCTGAGGAGAGACACATGGAACGAGGGGTTAATGCGGTAATTAATGGGCAGTTGTAACCTATAACATACCTCGTTCAATCTCCTCAGGACTTTAAATGGCCCCACAAACCGCCGACCCAGCTTCCGGCAGGGCAGGCGAAGGGGCAGGTTTCGGGTCGAGAGCCAGACCCGATCTCCCGGTGCACAAACCGGACCCTCACTGCGGTGGCGATCGGCGCTCGCCTTTTGCCGTCTGATAGCCCGCTGCAGATGGACATGCGCAGCGTTCCATGTTTCCTCCGAGCGCCGAAACCACTCATCCACCACAGGGGCTTCGATCTGGCTCTGATGCCAGGGTGCCAGGACCGGCTGATAACCCAGCACACACTGAAAAGGCGTAAGATTAGTGGAGGAGTGGCGGAGTGAGTTTTGGGCTATCTCTGCCCAGGGGATATACCCCGACCACTCCTCCTGCCGGTCCTGGCAATAGGACCACAGAAACCTACCCACATCCTGGTTTACTCTCTCCACCTGCCCATTACTCTCAGGGTGAAAATCCGAGGTAAGGCTAATCGAGACCCCCAAACGTTCCATAAACGCCCTCCAGACTCTAGAGGTGAACTGGGGACCCCGAGCAGACACTATATCCTCAGGCACCCCGTAGTGCCGGAAGACGTGAGTAAACAGGGCGTCGGCCGTTTGTAGGGCTGTAGGAAGACCTGGCATAGGAATGATACGGCAGGCCTTATAAAACCGATCCACAACGACCAAGATCGTGGTATTCCCCTGGGAGGGGGGAAGGTCCGTTAGCAGGAACAGGCCGGACCGGGCTGGCGACGCGCACCACTGGCTTGGTGCGGGGAGCAGGAACAGGCCGGACCGGGCTGGCGACGCGCACCACAGGCTTGGTGCGGGGAGCAGGAACAGGCCGGACTGGGCTGGCGACACGCACCACAGGCTTGGTGCGAGGGACAGGAACAGGCCGGACCGTACTGGGAACACACACCACTGGCCTTGTGCGGGGATCAGGAACGGGCCGGACCGGACTGGTAACACACCCCAGTACCTCTCGCCGTGCCTCTACACTCTCCTTCTCCCTCGTGACCAGTGGCCCCCGTAACCTGGCGGCCTCCTCTGCAAACCTGCCGAACCGCTCTATCGCGGCCTCCCGCTGCCTCGCCATCCACGGTGTGAGCCCCCCCTAAACATTTTTTGGGCTTGTCTCTCCCCCGTGAACATGGCCTCCATGGCTCTCGCCAGACTCTCACTCTTCTCCTCCCACGTCCATCCTCTCTCCTCGTCACGCTGCTTGATCCAGTCGAGGTGGGATCTTCTGTCACGATCGTCATAAGAGGCAGACCAAGGCGCAGCGTGATAGGCGTACATACTTTATTAGTACACTCACGAACAAAAACAACAAACGATACATGAAGTTCTAGGTTAAATAACACCAACACAAACCTTCCGAAACAAGATCCCACAAAACAAAAGTGCCAACAGGCTGCCTAAGTATGGTTCCCAATCAGAGACAACGAGAATCAGCTGCCTCTGATTGGGAACCACCCTGGCCAACATAGAAAACACGAACTAGAACACAACATAGAAAATAACACATAGAAACTCCACACCCTGGCTCAACATATAAGAGTCCCCAGAGCCAGGGCGTGACACTCCTGAGATCCAATTTTGTGAAGAATCGCGCCCGTGTAATGACTCCGTCATACTAGCAATCAGAGGAAGAGGATAGCTGTATTTGATTGTAATCTGATTGAGACCACGGTAATCAATACACGGGCGTAAACCCCCATCCTTCTTCTTCACAAAAAAGAAACTTGAGGACGCAGGGGAAGTGGACGGCCGTATGTATCCCTGTCTCAGAGATTCGGTGACGTATGTCTCCATAGCTGCCGTCTCCTCCTGAGACAGAGGATACACATGACTACGAGGAAGCGCAGCGCCTACCTGGAGGTCTATCGCACAATCCCCCTGTCGATGAGGTGGTAATTGAGTCGCCTTCTTTTTACAGAAGGCGAGTGCCAAATCGGCATACTCAGGAGGAATGTGCATGGTGGGAATTTGGTTCGGACTTTCCACCGTCGTTGCCCCTACGGAAACACCTACACACTGCCCGACACACTGATCAGACCATCCCTTGAGAGCCCTCTGTTGCCATGAAATGTTGGGGTCATGAGATGTTAACCAGGGAAGCCCCAACACCACGGGAAACGCAGGAGAGTCAATCAAATACGACTGTATAATCTCCTCATGGCCCTCCTGCGTCTTCATCTTAAGTGGCGCTGTGACCTCCCTAATCAATCCCGACCCCAAAGGGTGGCTATCTAGGGCATGGATGGGGAAGGGCACATCAACTGGTACAATAGGAATCCCTAACTTATACGTGAACCGGCGATCGATAAAATCCCCAGCTGCGCCTGAATCTACTAGCGCCTTATGCTGGGAGTGAGAAGAAACCTCGGGAAACACAACTTTAATACACATATGTACAACAGAGAGCTCTGGGTGAGTTGGGTGCTTACTCACCTGGAATGATTCATCAGTGCGTTGCCTACTGCTTCGATTCCTAGGAGACCCTCCCCAGCACCGAACCGCAGTGTGTCCTCTGCGGACACAGTTGGTGCAGGGGACGGCCTCTCTCCTCGTCTCCCTAGCAACAGCACCCCCGAGCTCCATAGGGCTCGGCTCGGAAGTGCTGGGGGATGGAATGGACGGCCCCAACTCCGGACGTCCGCGGGTAGCCAACAGGGTATCTAGGCGAATCGACATGTCCACCATCTGATCGAAGCTTAGGTTGG